TCACACAATGGAAAATACTAATTAGAATAGTTTGATTTCATTTTTAATTTTGCAGACTAAAAAGAAAATAACATGTTTCCTTCTAGGGTTTATGCAACTTTAATTTCTTAAAAAGCACACAATTTGTTTTGTCAAAACTATAAGTTGAGCAAATCATGGCAGCATGAGTTTTGAGTACACACGTTTGATGGTTTTAAAAGGAAACTTCCCTTAAAAGGATACGTATTTAGTAAAAGTTAACTTTCAATTTTCCCATGATGTCTCTTGACTCAAAGCCTAAAGAGACTCTTTAGTTCCAAGATGAACACAAAGAAAGCGATCGTGCACTTACTTGCAATCCAAGCATAAATTAATTAGGGTTTGATAGAGCCCCATTCGTTCTCCTAATCCTTCCCCTTTTGCTTGGACAGTTTCCTAATTTTGTTTGTATGATGAAACATTTATGTTCCGAATCTCGAATTCACGCAACAGACAACTTATGATGTGTTTAGGGGTCCTCAAATAGGTGACAAGGTGAAAACTTAAAATTGTCTATGTTCGAATGGGCACTGATGCAGAGCATGTGAATTTACTTGGTACGTATGTTTTGTGGGTGGTTCACGACTCCAGCCTTGTATGGAAAATGTTGCTTGTTGTTACACAAGTTTTGGTCGCAACGACACCAAAATTTCATGTGACCTTAATTTTGCCGTAGCCATCATCATGACCTACACTATTTGTATTTATCTTCTTTCTCATCTATTTGTAATTCACAATCTTAAGATAACTTTTCTCGGATGATTATTTGTTTGATCTTTTATTTTGGTCAATAGCGTTTGCAAGAAGTATGTGACTCATTCGACAAAAAAAAAGCATGTGACTCTTCAATTTGTAATTCAACACTTGAAAACTAAAAAATTATCTCTACTAATTAATAAAACACTCATTGTCAACTAAAATCATATGAAATTACCAGTTTAATCATCTAATTAAAACATAACATGAATAATAAATATGGAGCATAAATGTAATTTCAAAAAACCAAATTTTACTGTTTTTTTTCAAAGTCTTACCTACATGTAATCCTAACATATCTCTAATTAAAAAGTAACTGATCTCATTTTCATTTCACACTCTCCCTCCATGTTGGACAAGGATCCTTTCCGAATCCTCTTTGTGGGGATTCAGAGATTAATCAATCGTGTATGTTTATCGTATATCGTTTGACAGTTTTCTTTAAATACTATTCATATTCAATTTTAAATAAATTTTTTAAAATGATTTATAACCACACGATGTACAATGAACGAACACGATTAATTAATCATCCGAATCTTCACAAAGAGCATCCGGAAAGGATCCTATTCCCTCTGTGTCTTCTTCGATTCGTAGCTTATCCATTTCAAAAAAGTAAGCATATTATAAACGTTATTACAGTACACAAGGTGAGGCCCATACGCCATAAATAACTATTTTAAATAACATTGGTTGGTAGGTTCCCTCAAAGAAAACAAAGCACATCATTCCTAGGTTGCATTAGTAAGTGTATTATCTCGTATCATTTCTTTAATGTCACTTTGGTTGAAATAAAGATTAAAATAAGGATGGTATTATCCATATATCTATTTATACTGCTCACACAATTCTTCCAATTTCCAGCCCTCAGATGAACCATCCCAATTATGAAGATTTTTATTTTTCGTATGAAACAGATATGCTGGTTCGAATCATGGGCAACTTCTCCAATGATCATCCAGCTAAATACTAACCTGGAAACCTTGATCCCACTTAGTTGACTGACAATGATAAAGGCTTGCGAAACTAAGTAGGGCCTTTTGAATTGAATCTTAAGTAGTCTGCCTGCGAAGCATCGAATAAAACATAACATGAATAATAAATATGAGGCATAAATGTAATTTTACAAAACCAAATTTTACTGGCTTTTTTTTCAAAAGATCACCTGCATGTAATTATAACATATCTCTAATTAAAAATAAAATATAAAATAAAAACTTCATACCCCCACATTCTCTATCACTATCTTCCTCTCTCATTCTATTTCAAAAACAAAAATAAAATATTTTCTCACACTTTGTGTGTGACCATATGCTAGTATTGATTATAAAAAGTAACTGATCTCATTTTCATTTCACGCTCTCCCTTCATGTCGGACAAGGATCCTTTCCGAATCCTCTTTGTGGGGATCCGGAGATTAATCAATCGTGTTCGTTTATCGTACATCGTGCAACCAGTTTTCTTTAAATACTATTTATATTCAATTTTAAATGAAAATTTAAAAATGATTTCTAACCGTACGATATACAATAAACAGACACGATTAATTGATCATCCGAATCCGATGATCAGGAAAGGATCCTATTCCTTCTGTCTTCTTCGATTCGTAGCTTATCCATTTCAAAAAAGTAAGCATATTATAAACGTTATTACGGTACACAAGGTGAAGCCCAGACGGCATAAATAGCTATTTTAAATAACATTGGTTGGTAGGTTCCCTCAAAGAAAACAAAGCACATTTTTCCCAGGTTGCATTAGTAATTGTATTATCTCATATCATTTCTTTAATGTCACTTTGGCTAAAATAAAGATTAAAATAAGGATGGTGTTATCCACACATCTATTTATAATACTCACACAATTTTCTCAATTTCCGGCCCTCATATGAACTATCCCATTTATGAAGATTTTTTATTTTCGTATGAAACAAATCTGTTGGTTCAAATCACGGGCAACTTCTCCAGTGATCATCCAGCTAGAGCCTAACTTGGAAACCTCGATCCCACTTAGTTAACTGACAATGATAAAGGCTTGCGAAACTAAGTAGGGCCTTTTGAATTGAATCTTAAGTAGTTTACCAGTGGTGCGAAGCGTCGAATAAAATAAAGAAAATCAAAAGACAAAAATTAATAAAAATGTGTGGGAGGTAAAAAAAAAAAGTGTAAATAGCACAACCTAAAACCAATAGTCATCTCTTATTTTCTTCGTCTCTCTCAAGTGGTGCCATGAAAAGGAACCGGATCTTCTCTGGACCCAAAGGAACTAAGACGGAGATCAAATGATCCGTGCCATTAAAATTTGATCAAACGGCTACAATTATTAAAACTTTTAGAGGGCCCTATGTTTGTAAATGTTGGATCAAATTTCAATGGCCTAGATCATTTGATCATTGAGCTCAATTCCTTTGGATCCGAAGGGAATCCGGTTCCCCTTCGATTCATGTCAAAAATTACTTCATGTACGCAAGTTGCAAAGTACTAAGTGTTGGGGGACAAAATATTTTTGTGTGCAGAAAAAAATACAAGACGGTAAGTGACATAATACAATTATTGAAATCTTTTCTTTTAAAATTTTCAACTAATTATATTACTATTTAGCGTAATGAACCGTACTTCTAACATTCCGAAAAATCTCCCGTGTCGGGAGAATGGGTCCTATTCAAGTTTCAAGTGATGACCGACTGTTCTCAACTCCTTGTCGACACCTTCCTCGACATCGACGTACAAAGTTGGGTTGGGGCGCACACATGCGTGTGGGGTGAGGGAAGCTTTTGTCGCCTATTGCATCATCGCACGGCCACCGTGGCCTGATCCATCTCCCCCGTCACCCCCGCCAGTTCACACGTACTTCTTGCTTGGACGAGGGATATATTTTGCTTCTATGTACTTGGAAGCTTCCATAACATAGTGCACTTAAAAGGAAAATACTCCATTCTCCATGTCAATTCGGTTCTCGTCTTTAGTCTTTCACACACTTTTATTTAACATTGCCTGTTAATTTCATTTAATTTATTAAATTTAATGATACAAGAAAGACATGCATGTGAAAATTAAATTGGGTGTGAAAATTATCCGCTTATATGCTATAATGATGTGAATTTTCAGTTTCTAATTTTGAATTATAAATTTGAAAAAAATAAAGTGGAAATAAAAAGATAAAATTGAAAACGAAATAGTATCAAACGGCGGTAAGATATTAAAATTAATTGTTGATATTCTCTATGTATAGACACAAAAGAGATAAAAACAAATATGCAACTCCCCTTACAAGCATTCATTTTTCGGTATGCCAGAAACAAGTTCTTATACACAAGTGTGATTTTTTTTTTAAATATCCAACCACTTATGTTATGATACTTACGGAACTAGGTCGTGTTTCTGACACACTAAAATATTTCTGCTTGTGAGACATTGATCTAAGAATTGGATTTGGCTGTTGCAAATTCAGCAGCAGCTGTTGCTTACACCCATTCCCGTCCAGTTTTGATTTTTTAATCAAAACTCGGACACGTGTCCAGTCGAAATTGGGTGTAAGAAGCAACTGCTGTTGAATTCTTCAGGAGCGAAGTTAAATCCTTGATCTAATGAAATGTACAGACACAAACTCTCATAAGAGATGAAGCCCAAAATCATAAAAGCAAATAAATGACGGCCCATTGGGCCATACCAATTGTGTGTAGAACTGTGGCCTTACAAGCCCGTTCACTTTATTTAAAAAAAAAAAACAATTAATTAATTTTTATTGGAAAATCAATTAATTAAGAAAATATAAGGGCGTTATTAGCACAGATAGAAAATTATAAATATAAATCAAGCCCGTAATCCTCGTGTTAATTTGGCTACGGTCATGTTTATGTGAATAAATATATATTTACTTATAAGTTTTAAAATTCTTATTTAGAGCTTGTTTGGATGTGCTTTTAAAATGACTGAAAGTCTTTTTGGTGAAAATATTTTTGAAACCAATTCTTAGTAAAAATGCAAATAAATCATAAAGAATCACTTAAAGTGCTTCATGAAAGAGCACTTAAAAGTACTCTCAGCTAGTTTAAAAGTACTCTCGGCTATTTTAAAAGTATATTTAAAAGAGCCCTTAGACAACACTTAAAAGTGTTGAAAACTTAAATCAATTTTTCAAAAAACGTTTTCAGTCATTTTGACATAGCAGAAGGCCCAGGCCCAGTTTTCAAACCCAGATCATTTAACCAGGGTTATGTTAAACCCATTAGCCAAACAGACCAAATTTTAGTCCACCTCCGATATCACAAAACCCTAGCAACCCTAATAGCTTCCGCTCTTCGCTTATAAAAGCAACGTCCCCAGTGTCAATCCGCAGCTCGGCAGCTCAGCAAAACCCTACACACTGTAAGCCTCTATCCTCTCTCTCCCCCGCTCTCGTGTAGGGTTTCAGATCTGCTTTGTATATTTCTCATATGAATCGATTAGGGTTTAGCTAATACAATTTTAATCTGTTGTTTGGATTTGCAGGAGTTAAGTGAAAATGGCGGTGCCGTTGCTGAAGAAGTCGATCGTGAAGAAGCGGGTCAAGCACTTCAAGAGGCCCCAGAGCGACCGCAAGGCCTCCGTCAAGGTATAATACCAATATCTTTCGTCCCCTTTTTTTTTTCAATTTTTGTTTTGTGTTAGTGTCGATTTATGTGGAGAAAATGATGATACTGTTGTCGCCCCAGTCTTACTTGCATTTTACAATGGATGCAAGATGGTGATAGACATACTTATATCTGATTCCATTCTGTCATATATTTAAGGGAATTTTAGCGGAATGATTCCTGGACTGTTTATTTTAACGAAAAATCATATTTTTACGATAAAAAGTCAATTTTGATACTATTCACTTTGGTCTTTATTTTGTCCTTATTGTTAAAACTTAAAATTTTCAAATCATTTTCATTGGTTTTTCTTATATTTAATTGGGTAAATTCGTTTTTTTTTTTGTATAGATTTATATGACCATTTGATTGGTTTTCTAAAATTTCATTCCAACATATGGAACAATGGTTTTTCGCGGTGTCGAAGTGGTATAATGTTTGCCATTTCGTTATTTGAACTTGGTTTTTGATGGATATGAGGATAGCTATTACCACCTGTCTTACTTGCATCTTAAGATGCAATTTGGTGAATTAGTGATCGACTATCTGATCTTTTAGAGCAATAAAAGTCTGGGTTTTTACCGTATGATTGGTTGATTTGTGGCTAAGATTTGGAAATTTTTTCGGTCTTTTGCACTCAGTTTTGTCTATTTCTTTTGAGTACTTGTTTGTTGAACAAAAGGGTTTTAATTTTTGGGGATATGCAACAAGAAGTGATGATTTGTACCCATCTATTCTGCAATTTGAATGATGAATACTTACATGCACTACCATCTGATCTACGTTGCGTTCCCACTTTTGTCTACCATTTCAGTAATTTATTTTGTTTGCTTAGGATTAATAACTTTTCAATTGTATCTTTTTGGAAGTAAATCTGCAATCTGTGATGCAAATGTTTAACGTTAATGATATTCTGTGATTAGTAAGTTCAAATCACCATCTTTCGACTGAGATTGCAGTTTGAACGATTAATTCCTTGCTCCTGTTAGTCATTTGTGATTTCTTGCTCCTGTTGTGTCTAATATGTGGTCGTCTGTGTGAATATGTATTGCTGTTGTATCTTTTTGAAGTTGTTTGCCCATGGTATCTGATGTCCAGATTTATTATCTGTGGCTGGACATTTCGTTTAACAGGGCGTACATAGAAGTTTACAGGTCTTTGCGACACAGTTAGCTTTGATTCTCAACAGCTTTCTGTTACTTTAACCCTGCAAACATTTACTTTGTGCTACATTGTTTATTAGTCGGTTATTTTTATTGCCGTGGTGTATATTACTCTGACTAATCATGTTCATCAACTTTTTATTTGACAGCCCAGCTGGAGAAGACCAAAGGGTATTGATTCTCGTGTTAGAAGAAAGTTCAAGGGCTGTGTTCTCATGCCCAACATTGGTTATGGGTCAGACAAGAAGACCCGTCATTATCTTCCCAATCATTTCAAGAAGTTTGTTGTGCACAACGTCAAGGAGCTCGAACTGCTGATGATGCACAATAGGTATACTGAAGACCTTTGTTTTGTGCTTCTTTAGTTTCCCCGATTTTGTTTTCACATAACATTTCTAATTTGCATTGTTTTTTCTTTTCACCTCATCGTAATCAGGACCTACTGCGCCGAGATTGCACACAATGTGTCCACAAGGAAGAGGAAAGAAATTGTTGAGAGAGCCGCCCAGCTTGACGTTGTTGTTACGAACAAGTTGGCCAGGTTGCGCAGCCAGGAAGATGAATGAGGCTTGTATCATTTTTTTTTTGAAATTATAACGAGTTGTAATCCATACTTTGAACACACAGACCATTCGATTTTTTCTGGTAGAATGGTAGCGATTGAACATGGGCGGGAGTGTTCATTTGAAATTCAGCATCTTCGTAGTTCAACGGGCATCGAAGTTGAAGTCACTCGTTGCTGTACAAAGTACAAATAAACTTGCGATGGTCGATGCTAAATTGACATGGACAATGTCGCTAAATTTTGAATGCAATGGCGATGACAATGAATGTTCCTTAATTTGGATGCGAGTCTTGCCCTGCACCCAAGTTTTTTTACACGCACATGTACTTATAAAATGGCAGAAAGCATTTTTAAAGAAAATGTTTAAGTTTCAAACACCTTTCAAGTAGTTTTTAGGATTCACTTGCATTTTTATTAAGAATTGTTATAAAAAATGTTTTCACCAAATTTTTTTCAGTTATTTTAAAAGTATTTTTAAACGAGCTTTTCATTATTACACAATATATATATATATACACACACACATATATATGGTGGTTTCTTTATTGTAGTTCTTCCGATAAAGTTTGTAGATATTTGCAATTCTTGTAATATGAGTTTTCAGTTTACACAATTGAGTTCTTTTTGTACATGCATCTGTAATTCTTCCATTCTTCGAGTCCTATCTTCTGTTAATAACTTGGGGAATCCCATATAGATTATGACCCGAATCAAGTCAATTCTTTTTTGAATCTCTACACGTGCAATTCCCTTACATTCGAGGATATTTTCATATTATTTTGCACATAATTTTTTATACAATCTCGTATTTTTTGATCTTCTTGTATATTCTTTGAATGATTTTTTGGTTGTGCAAACCAAAGAGAATGATGACCTTGGATTGCACCAAGTCTGAAACCAAGTGGATTTTACCAAAATTATACATTTGTCACAAATTGACAATAGTGTTTATATTTGGTTACAACTAATGTATATTTGATTTTTTTTTCTGCCGTTCTTATAGGTATTTGTGTAAAATTTCTTAGTTATGCATGTGTAATGGCAACATAGAGGAGACGGAAAAATAACTTTTAAAACCCCAAATATTAGCAAAATGAATAAAAAAACTACAATTCTTATGCTGCATTTGGTTTATGCTGCAACATTACATAGAGGAGATGAAAAAATATCCGCTCCCATCGAACTGTTTCTCTCTCTTCTTTCCCCATCAAACCCTTTCTTTCTTATGTTTGCCAAAATCTGGTCCTAGACGGGCTTGTTTGACTTGGAGGTGTGCAACAAGTCGTCCATCTTGCGGCGGAGGGCTATTAGTCTTCGGGTCTCGTCCTACGCCCAAGTCTCGGCTCACTTCTTCGGTGCCCTTACTTTGTGGCCTCATTGTTAGTGTCACCCATATGTGGCCTCATTGTTACTGTCACCCATAAGCATTTGCTATGAGTGTAGCGACGGTGGCGCTTGGTGGAGATGAGTTTAGGATTGAGATTGAGACTAAGACTGGTAGAGGTCCTCGTTCAAGTCCACCACCTCCATCATCATGTCACGGCTACCTTCCTCCTTATAGAAGTTGATGGCTTGAGGCTTTGTACATGGCGGTGGGCGTGTTAGTGAAATATATAAAATTCAATTGCTTGAGGTTTTTACGACAAGTACATGGCGGCGGAGGTGGAAATGAAAATTTCGGGTTTGCTGAGAAAAGGGTGTTTGAGAGAGAGTGAGCCTGAGAGAGTGTATGTTCAATTTAGAGAGATGTAAGTTGGTAATGCTTCACATACCTTGTTGAAAGTAGGAAACGGGACGTGCAATCAACACTGTATTGATAATTAATCTAGACATAACCTAAAAATAATTCATCCCGTCTTTCTTTGGTTTCCTCCCCCATCTCATTTCCTAATTCTTATTAGCATGATCATAATAGTGTTTATGACCATCATCTAATCCTGGTCAAAGCATCGAACTTTCTGAAGTTTGCCATCATTTATTTTGCTCTCTCACCTCTCATTCATCAATTAGTTGAGCAAATTTTATAGTCTGTTTGGGGTTTTGACTGTTAGGCTTGTCTTTTTTTCATGAACCTAACTCACACTTATTTTCTCAACAAAACAGGATCATATTGTTGGTGTTTCTTTAAAAAAAGAAAATAGATTAACTTTTATTTTTTTTTGGATTTAAGAGCCATTTTCTTCTTTCCAATCAAATTTTCATCTTTGATAAGAACCATATGAATTTGTGATCGGGGTCTTATTTTCAGTACCAACTCGAACTCTCACAAAGAGTACGACTCGTCACAAACACATTCTTACAAGCGCTCTTTGTGACAGTTCGTTGTGTGAGTCCAAACTCTCACAAAAGGGTGAGATTCGTCATAAACAGTGAGTTTTGCACACTCTCATGTGAAAGTCCATTACAAGACTTTGGCAAAAGGATATTGAAGCCACGAAACGAGACCTCTTTGCGTAAAATTTGTGAAAAATGTCGATTGATCTGTAGGCGGGGATGTTAAGTGTCTCCAAACTCATCTTCAAAGAAACCGAAAAATCTTATTAACAAACAATGTTGTTCAAAAAAAGGCTAAACACTACGTCGATCAACTTACAATGTCTTGATCTTGTTTGGTTTGTTCTTCTTTCTATTGTCAGCCTTCACATTTCCAGCCAAAGCCACAGCAGCTACGATCCCAGCACACGCCGCCAACGCCACCACAGGCAAAGACCACTTTGTCCTCCACCATCCACTCGCCGCCTTCTTCTTTCCCACCAGCTCCTCACTCTTCTTTCTCTTCAGCTCCTCCATTGCCGTCTTCAACGCCAATGACTCGCTCATCTTCCACTCCATCTCTCTCTCCTGCGCTTCCATTTCCTCTTTCATTACTTGCAAATCAAGCAACCCAACCGTGCTCCTCTCTATCATCAAATCCAGCATCTCAATTTCCGCAAGCAGTTTAGAAACCCCCTTCTCGCTTTTATCGTCATCTCCTCTCCCAGGCATTACGTCGAACACCTTCTCTTCAACATCAGCTTCGAGTTCTTCCGACTTGTCGTCGTTGTCGAAGTCTGTGGCTTTCGTGTTATCGTCTTCGAGGACCAAATCGAGGTCTTTGGCTTCGATTTCAGGCGCTGCCTCGGTGTGCTGGTTCTCCGTCGCATGATGATCGGCGCGGTCGACGGTAGCGCGGCTCGCCATTGACAATCTCCGCTGCGAGAACTCAAACTTCAGCTATATAACCACTCTCAGAACGATGCCGTTTGGTTCTGAAAGCAAATATCAATTTTGCTATTTAATTCTCCTTTTTTTCTTTGGCTCCTCCATTTTTTCTAATTTCTTTATGCGATCTTGTAACAATATTTCCCAAAGGTAGAGATTTATTAGGCAAAATTGTTTGTTTAGGCTATTATCGTGTTTGGAACAAAACAACAAGGAAAGACCCGGCCAAACCTGTTCCAAAAACTTTACACAAATATTTTTTTTAAATATATTTTTATTGTAAAAATTAACAAGGCAAAAGTCGTTAATTAAACTCCCGTGCTGATTGAGTCTCATTAGCGATTTGCGGTCAAAATCCAAAATTTTCTTAGCCTTTCGTCAAATGATCTCATGTGAGTCTCACGTGGAAATATTAAAGTCATTATTTCAAACCAAATTAAGAAACCTAAAACATTTGTGGCAATATTCGGTACGTCTTAGGGTTCAACTGAACTTGGATTTGACGACAACGGAGAGGGTTGAACGAGGTTGGAGGGTGAAGCTAAGCCGTTGACTGAAAATCCATGTCATTGGCTGGGGGAAGAGGTGAAGGAGAAGTCGTGCCTAATTTCTTAAGCATGGCTGCTTTCACTTTCTATTGAAACCTTGATATTTCAGCCTCTATTTGCAGAATGACAGTCGAATTACAACAACAGCAAAACCAAGTGCAATAGCGTTTCAAATAATCATGTGAGTTAGACGTGGAAATATTAAAGTCATCTTTTCAAACCAAATTAAGAAACCTAAAACATTTGTGGCAATAATTCGGTACGTCATAGGGTTCAATTGAAATTGGATTTGACGAAAACTGAGAGGGTTGAACGAAGTTGGAGGGTGAAGCTAAGCCGTAGACTGAAAATCCATGTCAATGGTTGGGAGAAGAGATGAAGGAGAAGTCGTGCCTCATTTCTTAAGCATGGCTGCTTTCCACTTTCTGATGAAACCTTGATATTTCAGCCTCTATTTGTAGAATGACAGTTGAATTACAACAGCAGCAAAACCAACGTTAGCATGACCGTGATTTGTGAGATGGGGTGGTGAATTTGGTGTAATTCATCAAACCCACCAAGCATTCAGAGAGTTTCGTAAGATTTTGGTGGAAATCGGAGCGTGAAATGGAGAGTGGAAGTGGAAACTGTATGGTTCTGAGGCTTTGGAAAATGGCGGGAACTCTTAGCATGACCGTTAATCGGTAACGATGTATAGAAAACCACCTTTGAAGTGGGACAGAGTCTGGGCGGGTGGTTTCCGGTTGTGCGTTTGGTACGTGGGATGGGACGGAACAGAGTGGGACGGACGCGTTCCGTCCCACGTTTGGTGCGCTAAAAAATTATGTGGAACGCGCGTCCCACGGAACGAAAATGGGTTAGATTTTGGTTCCCCTCCTCCCCCCCCCGGAACGGGTTTTTCCATCCCGTGGGACACAAAATTATATTTTTTTGGACAACAATACCCCTTTTATTTTTCATTAATTACATTGTCTACCTCCCTTTCTCTCCCGTAACCTCCATCTCTTCTACCCTTGTCTCTCCCGTAGCCCTCCTATTCCTCCACCACAAACCTAGTAACCCAATTGCTAACCCAATCCCAGCAAACCCATTCGACGACGACGACGACGACGTCACCATAGCAAACCCTCTTTTTCTCCGACGCCGTCTGGCGTTACAAACATGACCCGCATCTCGTCATCTTCGTCCATGTAAGCGAGGTGGATCTGATCCAGAACACGACCCGATTCGAAGCTAAGCTCGTCATCTGAGGTGGCGAGCAGGTGGGCGGTGTCGGGGATGGGGTTGTGGTTCTGGTCGAGGTGGTTGGGGTCGACATCGGACTCATTCCAACAGAAAATCCGGAAGGAGTAGTTGAATCGAAGATTGACCAGAGGGAAGGAAATGGGGCCCGACCCAGATTTCCATGTGGGGGTAGATGAGAGGAACTTGTATCCTATAAAGTTGTCGTGGTGGGAGGAAGGGGGCGAGTAGATGCCGAGCCAGTCGAGTCGGGAGGGCGAGTCAATGTCGGACCATTGGATTAGGACGAAGTCGCTCGATTTGGAAAGGGAGGTTGGGGAGAGAGAGTGAAACAGTTTGGTGGGTTGGAGGGAAGAAGGTGGATGCTGCACGGAGGATGATGACGATGCTGCAGGGAAGACGATGACGATGCTGCAGGGAGGACGATGATGAAGCTACAGAAATTGATTGAAATGATTTTGGGATTTTTCCGTGTTTGATTTGAAGAGAAAGAAATTGTTTGGGGGTCTGATTCGTCATTTTTTTTCTTCTTGTAATTGTTTAGGGGTCTGATTGGTTGCCAAGAAAACGAAGGAAAACGACGACGCTGCAGAAATTGTACAAACAAGGCTAAGTTAGTCATTTAACACGAAATCCGAACTATTCCGTCCTATGCATACCAAATATAACACGAACCTCCATTTCGTTCCGTTCCGTCCCGTCTCGTCCCGTTCCATCCCGTTTGCGTACCAAACAGTACCTAAAAGGCCCAAACGCAACGTCTTGTACGTGTCGAGAGTTTATTGCCCTTGACATTTGACTTCCACACACGCTTTTTTATTTCCATGCACGAGAAATTTTTTATTGTGACAGAAACACAGATGGTATACATCATGTGTTTTTATGTAAGTGGTGAGAAATTTTATTTTTTAAGTTATTAACTTTTTAGCACATATATCTCACCATTTGTATAATGACACGTGGTGTACCACCTCGTGTGCTGATCACACTGAAAAATCTCTCCCCATCCAAGCTCATCTGCTTCTTAATTGAATAAATTAAACAAGAATTGCAGAAGGAGAAAAATAATGCGGAAATGACTTTTTATAAGTTTTATAGTTAAAGAACACTTAAATAGGTGATTGCACCTGACAAATAAATGAGATATTTTGTTTTTCTAATTTGATTCTTGAAGTTTTACTAACTTTAAAGTTCATTTGTAAGTGTTTTTAAAATAGCTGAAATGGCGTTTGGTGAAAACGTTTTTACAACAATTCCTTGGTAAAAATACAAATAAATCCTAAAAAATACTTGAAGTGCTTCGTGCAAAAAGTATTATTTATGTGTTTTTTGCATAAAGCACTTCAAGCGCTTTTGTAACCCACAAACATTTTTTTTTTCTAAAAGCGTTTTTAGTCATTTTAAATGGAATTTCCAAATGAGACCTTAACCATTGTGAGGGAGGTTACACTCTTATTGTTGTTATGGGTCAGGTCATTTGTACAGGATAATGTACTTACTCCTTTACACTCAAATTTGAATCACCTTATAATTTAGAGCATTTTAACGATCGCTTATATTAAAATAAATAACAATAGTATTATGTGTCCGTCTGGATAAGAATATTACTTTTTTGATCTCTTAGGAACAATTAATGGCACAAAGCCTAGACGAAGAAGAATGTACCCTTTAAAAAAATACCTAAAAATGTGAGCCAAGTAAGAATCTGGGCATTTCTTGCTTGGTTTGCCTTGATCATCAAGCATCTACCTCCTTTACAACCCCACACATTTAGCCCTTTTGGAACCAACAGCCTTAGCAAGAAAAGAACCAAAACCTTCTTCCTCCCTTATATATGATATGATCATCTCTGTGTAACACATGCAATAACAAGTACAACCCTTTCTGCATCCAACAGCTTTTGATCTTACAAAAAAATGGCCTACCAGCAGTTAAAACCCGTTGCCGGACTGCTTTTGGCTCTCAATTTCTGCATGTATGTCATCGTTTTGGGCATTGGAGGCTGGGCAATGAACCGAGCAATCGACCACGGTTTTGTTATTGGTAAACGCTCTTAACCGCTTGAGGCCTCTCTCTTCCTTGTTTGCACTTTACGTAGTATGAATTCTTCTCTGTATACTAATGCTGAGTGAGACTCTTGTAGGTCCTAGTTTTGATCTCCCGGCACATTTTTCGCCAATATATTTCCCCATGGGGAACGCTGCTACAGGGTTCTTTGTGACATTCGCTCTGCTCGCTGGAGTTGTTGGCGTAGCTTCAGCTATTTCCGGTATCAACCATCTCCGATCTTGGACCTATGAGAGCTTGCCGTCTGCAGCCACAGCTGCCACCATTGCCTGGACTCTCACCGTACTTGCCATGGGGTATTTATAAGTCATTACCATCCATAATAACAGATGCATAGTTGCATACAATTGTTTGAACTATTTTTGCTCTATATTAACCAGCTGTTAACCTAATTCGTGCAGCTTCGGTTGCAAGGAGATCGAGCTTCGGATCAGAAATTCCCGATTGGTAAGATGAAAATTATGTTGTGACGAAATAGTTATCGAACCAGCCCTAAAATACTCATTCAATTGCTTCCAGAAATCTTCTTATATTGAAACATACTCCACTTTCTTGCAGAGAACAATGGAGGCCTTCTTGATCATCCTTTCGGCGACGCAGCTTCTGTATTTAGCAGTCATTCATACCGTTGTATCGAGGAGATGAACTTAAGAGAGTTGCGCGACTTTTGTGTTTGTGTGCTGCGTCTGAATTTGTTAATTTATTTATTTTTCATACCTTTTTCTTCACACTTTGAATAAATCTGGTCATGGTTATGGTGTCTGTCAACAGTGTGATATAATTGGATTGGATTGGATTGAATACATAAATGTTTTTCAATACTCATTTTATGAATTACGTTCTTAACGCTAGAATGTTTTTAGTGCGACATTTAGCACCGTCACCTGGTGTTACTAACTATCCATTGTCATGGGTAACCATAAGATTTTTACACTCTGACCAAAATAAGATATGTAAACCGGTATTAATGCATTTAAGTGTCGTCAAACCAAGCTTTTTGTCCAAAAATGTAAATTTTTATTTTCGCGAAATATTTTGAAAAAATTTGAAAAAATAACCAAAATTTGGACCTTACATAGAATTATAACCACCGTTTCAAGTTTATGATAATTATAATCAAATTTTAATATAAAAGTACTAATATACTCTTAAAATAAGAATTAAGAGATAAGAAAGAATTTAAATAGAACCACAGAAATATACTTCATCTCCAACTCCATTATTGAATAACGGTACTGTACAAATCCAACAACAATTTCACAAAAAAAATAAAGGGTGAAAAACTGTTTACTACCCTCATGTTTCGTGGTTTTCAACATTTAGTACATCAAATTTTTTTCGTCTCAGATTCATACCTAAAGTGTAAATTTTGGGACAGTCTCATACATCCGTTAGTCAAACTGTTAAGTTTTCTGTTAACTGTGACGTGACGCACTGACTGGGCACCACGTGTCATCCGAGTTTTTTTTTTCTTTTCTTTTCTTCTTCCTTTTTCTTCTTCTTCTTTTTCTTCTTCTTCCTCCGACTGCAACTTTCTTTTCTTTTTTTCTTTTTTTTCTTTCTCCTTCTCCTTCTTCCTTCCTTCCTCCGTCCTTCCCTTTCTTCCCCTTCTTCCTTCTTCTTCCTCCGAATCTGGGGAAGCTTTTTTTTTTTTTTTTTTTTTGAGGAAGAAGAAGAGGAAGGAGGAAGAAAGGGAAGGAAGAAGGATTTGAGGAAGAAGAATAGGAAGGAAGGAGGAAGGAAGGAGGAAGAAGGAGAAGAATGAGGAAGAAAAAAAAAATGTTGCAGTCGGAGGAAGAAGAAGAAGGAAGAAGGAGGAAGAAGAAGAAAGGAAAAAAAAAAAAAACTTCCCCAGATTTCGGAAGAAGAAGAAGAAGAAGAAGGAGAAGGAAGAAGGGGAAGGAAGAAGGAGAAAAAAAAAAGAAAAAAAAGAAAGTTACAGTCAGAGGAGGAAGAAGAAGAAGGAAGAAGAAAAGAAAAAAAAAAAAAAACGTGGATGACACATGGCGCCCAATCAGTGCGCTACGTCACAGTTAACAGAAAACTTAACAGTTTGACTAACAGATGTATGAGACTGTCCCAAAATTTCCACTTTAAGTATGAATCTGAGACGAAAAAAACTTGATACACTAAATGTTGAAAAACACGAAATATGAGGGTAGTAAACAGTTTTTTACCCAAAAATAAATAATGAACAATAAACAATTTTTGCTAAAACCTGCATTCGTCAAGCGTTGGATAAATCTCCAAAATTAAAATGACGATGATACAATTCCAGTACGTAACCCTCTTTTCATCTTAATCTTAAGGCTTTTGAAAGCAATTTTACGGTTTATTGAGCAATAAATATATATTTAGTAAAACTTTCAAAACGGTTTAAATACGAATTTGTAAAACCGACTAAAAACCATGAGTAATCAAACACTTCCACTGTTCAAGCAATATTCTAATCTAATATAAATTACGGAGAGCGGGACTCTTAACTTGGCTACAACAATCAAGTGAAGAATGATATTGTAAATGTTGCAAAAAAGGAAGTAAAAATTAACACGAAAGAAAGGTTGTGAAAGCAGAGATATACAGCTGCCTACCATTCCTGACACTATCACCACCACAGATCTTAATTTGGTTTTATCTAATCCGGTTCTTACCCATTATTCTTCAGGGAAAAAAAAAGTGTAAGTTCTAATATCGAAATATCATAAAAATCTCGGAACAATTTTCACTTCCACAAGTTTCATGAGTCCGCTGAAACCCTTCATGCTCTTTTGTTGGTTACAAAACAGCTTCTTCTGTTGTTTCTGCATCACGAGAAACCTTGAAAAAATCAACCATCATTCAGTTTGAAAGGTATTACAAACTCGAACGGTAACATCACTCAAGTCTATATAAAATTGTTATGCAGGAAGGCGATGCATATATCTCAATGCTGGCATAGAGTTGAGCAATAATATAAAGCTTAGCACCGTTCTCAGACTACGAGAAAATTTAAGCAGGTTCAGATCAAATCAGAAAATACCTAACACTTGAAAAAGATCACATTCAGATAGCACGCTTAATAGACGAGCTGAAACAGAAATGCCTAATGGATTCTCCTTTAGGTGGTTGAGCTAGCAGCTAGCTAAACGAACAAAATATGAGACCCTGTTCTTTTAATCTCTAGCACAATCTCTATCTACCTTTACAATCGATGTACACTTGCAATTCAGGGGAGATCAACTAAAAAAACTTCCGCAGAACCTTAGCACAAAAGAGGTCTTCTAACTCTAGCATAAGGGACTGTCGACATCAAGATATGAGTCCTTGAAAATTTGTAATTCCTGCTTTTATCTAATTTCTTCTCCGTGAGGACAGCTTAAAGTCCCTCTTGGGAAGAAGCCTCAACAATTTCTTCTCTCTTCTTATCTTTTAAACAATGGATTGTTACTCGCTGCTTTACTACTCACACTTGTATAGTGAGACAATCCTACTCGATTTGTAACTAAATTTCCTACTAAAATCCGTAAGATAACACATTTAAACATAATTTTCCATCCACTATTTACATTCCATTGGCAACATGATAAACATTAAACCCTTCATGTGAGAAAATCGTAAACGAGGCCTTTCATGACAAACCAATCTTGACAATTCCAGTCCTTGGCTACCATTTTTCACTAGCAGTGCAATCCACATTCTATAAAAGCATAAATCAGACACCTAGAGACCACGGTCAATGAAGATCCACACTTTAATTTTCTGAAACATAATAAATAATGACCACTTAAACAATTATGGCATCCCTGTTACATCCTAAACACATCTCAATGCCCCACTGACCCAGTCTGCTCTATAGCATTGACAAAAACTATATATAGAGAGAAAAGGCAAGACATGTTATTTGAACTTGATAGAAAAATCCCAACCTGAACTTATCTATTGGAGCCTGTTATAGCATCCAGAATTCCACAGCAGCTAAGCCAACATGTTTTTTGCGCCACGGGTGGAGCCGGAGCTAACAGAGGCTGCATAAATTCCAGCAAAGAAATTGAATTTGATTATCAAAACATAAAAAGATCTAACATCAAACTTTCAATGAAGAAAAAAATGCGGCGCAATACCTGCTTTTCAGAATATTCTGGAACATCAGCATCTTTGATGGGTTCAGCATCATTACTAACTTGGGCCAGAGAAGTACCTAATGATGGCAATACTTTGCTCTCATTTTCTTTAGACGCAGATTCCACCACACTTGAAGATGCCTTGGCAGTATCGTCCAGAAATGGCGATGCTTTATCCTCAATTTTCTTTGATACAGGATCCCCAGTAGGCAACGTTTTCTCTGCACCATTATCCAACCCTGCTTTTACTACATCATTGGAGATCGGTGCAATTTCAACTGGCGTCCTTTTTGAGAGGTGCACAGAAACCTCATGCGTAACAGAATCAAAAGAAGGGGCAATCTCTGTAGTAGCTGAACTTGTAGTCTTCCCAGCTGGTGCATCTTCAGTAGTCTTCCCAGCTGATGTAGAATCGACTGACTTAACCAAATCATTATGAGGTTTTTCCTCCGAAACTGAAGTATGGATATCCTCCTTTCGCCTTCTATCAACAGCTCGAGATTCTTCATCTGAACTACTACTGCTAGAGCTTCTATCGTCCCCGTTAGATGATCCCTTTGCAGACTTAGCATCCTCAATAATCACATTTTTGCCTGTTGAATTGTCTCTCAATTCCCTCTCAATTTCAACTCTCTGAACTGCCTCGGCATCCCCAGGCACTCCCTTATCTTGGGAGTTCACATCATTATTTCCTATCATAGTTCAATTCAATCACAAGAGTTTCAGTCAAAATCATGCAAAGCTAAGACCTCAATAAACACCCATTAAGCCAATTCGAAGCCAAAAAGTGTCAAACATTCAAATTTCAAAACTGTCATTCGAGAGGGGGATAAAGTACGAACTCAGAGACTCACTAACTAACATGCAACCACAATTTGTTCACCAGAATTAAGCTAAACTCAACACATCTGCAAATACCCACCAACCCAAATGGGGGAAATGAAACAAAATCAAAACTTCAAAATTGGGTAACTTGATTCATATTACAAAAATCCCAACCAACACAAAGCAAAAAAGGGAAACTGGTAAATACCCAATTACCCAAATCGATAAAATAACAAGAAAAATTAATGAAAAGGGTTCGAAAACGATCGAGTGAGAGATGGGTAAGTGAGGGATTGATGAATTAAATAATCAAATAAACAAAGAAAGCACCTTGAGAAGGAGGAGGAGGATTGGATGTGCCGTTGTGGGTTTGCCGCTCCTTCTTTTTCTTGGCAGCTTTTCGCTTCTTGGCACCTGATGGCATGATTGCACACTCTCTCTCTGTCTCCTTTTGGGGATTGTACAGCAGCAATGGGGTCTCTCTATCTCTCTCTCTCTCCTCTCGCTCGGAGAGACAGATCTTCGTATTATTCGATCGAAATCAAAAACCCCGACACTCTTCTCCTTCTCTCTCGCTCTCTCTCTCTCTATGTCTCCCTCTTAAGGGTGATTATGTGGGACTCTCGGGGACTCTGTTTTGTGGAGAATAACTGCGCGTGTTTCAAAAATACAGTAAAATTTAAAACTTGAAATGGTAAGATCTAAAAAAAAATTAATGAAAAAAATTTGAAAATTTTGAGTTTTAATAATGAAGATAAAATAAAAGGTAAAATAAATAGTATCAGAATTAACTTTTTAATGTAAAAATATGATTTTTCGTTAAAATAAACAGTACTATAAGTTTTTCGTTAAAATTTCTTAAGAAATAAGGACTGG